GTGTGTGTGCAGTGTACATAGAGCTGTATGTACAGGTGTGTGTGCAGGTGTGTGTGCAGTGTACATAGAGCTGTATGTACAGGTGTATGTACAGGTGTGTGTGCAGTGTACATAGAGCTGTATGTTCAGGTGTATGTACAGGTGTGTGTGCAGTGTATATAGAGCTGTATGTACAGGTGTGTGTGCAGTGTACATAGAGCTGTATGTACAGGTGTGTGTGCAGTGTACATAGAGCTGTATGTACAGGTGTATGTACAGGTGTGTGTGCAGTGTATATAGAGCTGTATGTACAGGTGTATGTACAGGTGTGTGTGCAGTGTACATAGAACTGTATGTACAGGTGTATGTACAGGTGTGTGTGCAGTGTACATAGAGCTGTATGTACAGGTGTATGTACAGGTGTGTGTGCAGTGTACATAGAGCTGTATGTACAGGTGTGTGTGCAGTGTATATAGAGCTGTATGTACAGGTGTGTGTGCAGTGTACATAGAGCTGTATGTACAGGTGTGTGTGCAGGTGTGTGTGCAGTGTATATAGAGCTGTATGTACAGGTGTGTGTGCAGTGTACATAGAGCTGTATGTACAGGTGTGTGTGCAGGTGTGTGTACAGTGCATGTACAAGGTATGTAGGTGTATGTACAGTGTATGTACAAGGTATGTAGGTGTATGTACAGTGCATGTACAGGTGTATGTACAGTGTATGTACAAGGTATGTAGGTGTATGTACAGTGCATGTACAAGGTATGTAGGTGTATGTACAGTGCGTGTACAGGTGTATGTACAGTGCATGTACAAGGTATGTAGGTGTATGTACAGTGCGTGTACAGGTGTATGTACAGTGTATGTACAAGGTATGCAGGTGTATGTACAGTGCATGTACAAGGTATGTAGGTGTATGTACAGTGCGTGTACAGGTGTATGTACAGTGTATGTACAAGGTATGCAGGTGTATGTACAGTGCATGTACAAGGTATGTAGGTGTATGTACAGTGCATGTACAGGTGTATGTACAGTGTATGTACAAGGTATGTAGGTGTATGTACCGTGTATGTACAAGGTATGTAGGTGTATGTACAGTGTATGTACAGGTGTATGTACCGTGTATGTACAAGGTATGCAGGTGTATGTACAGTGTATGTACAGGTGTATGTACAGTGTATGTACAAGGTATGCAGGTGTATGTACCGTGTGTGTACAAGGTATGTAGGTGTATGTACAGTGTGTGTACAAGGTATGTAGGTGTATGTACAGTGTATGTACAGGTGTATGTACCGTGTATGTACAAGGTATGCAGGTGTATGTGCAGTGTATGTACAGGTGTATGTACCGTGTATGTACAAGGTATGCAGGTGTATGTACAGTGTATGTACAAGGTATGTAGGTGTATGTACAGTGCGTGTACAAGGTATGTAGGTGTATGTACAGTGCATGTACAGGTGTATGTACAGTGTATGTACAAGGTATGTAGGTGTATGTACAGTGCATGTACAGGTGTATGTACAGTGTATGTACAAGGTATGCAGGTGTATGTACCGTGTGTGTACAAGGTATGCAGGTGTATGTACAGTGTATGTACAAGGTATGTAGGTGTATGTACAGTGCATGTACAAGGTATGTAGGTGTATGTACAGTGCATGTACAGGTGTATGTACAGTGTGTGTACAAGGTATGCAGGTGTATGTACAGTGTATGTACAAGGTATGTAGGTGTATGTACAGTGCGTGTACAAGGCGTGCACAGGTTTATACCTGTGAAAAATCCCCCTGAGCCCAGGGAAGGACTCACGTCGGTGCCTTTGCACCTCCCCGGGGGGCGAAGGGCTGAGTGTCGAGGGCGGTGTGAGGCGGCCGTGCCGGTGGCTGCTCCCTCGGCACGGCCCGGGCCGGGCACGGGAGCGGAGGAGACGGACGGGAATGAATGGAAGCACCTCGGGGAAGGCAACCAGAGCCTCGTCTGCCGGGGGGGCGGCCCAGCGGGAGCGGCCGCTCGGCCCCGCCGCCCTCCCCCGCTCCTTTGTGGCCCGAAGGAGTTTTCCACCCCGGGGAGGTCAGCGGGTGTTCCCCGGGTTCTCCCTCCCGGCCGGTGCCGGTGGGCAGCGGGAGCGGTGGGAGGCGGGGCAGCCGATGGCCAGGGAGCTGCTGCTGGAGACGGGAGGTGTGAGGGAAAATACCAAAAATTCCCCTTTTCTGTCTCGGTCCCCGGGTGTGGGCGATGGGACACAGCCGATGGCCGGGGAGCTGCTGCTGGAGACGGGAGGTGTGAGGGAAAGCACCAAAAATTCCCCTTTTCTGTCTCGGTCCCCGGGTGTGGGCGATGGGACAGGGGAGAGCGAGCTGGAGAAGGCGAGCAGGCTCCCCAGGGCAGTGGTCACAGCACAAGCCCTTTTGCTTTCAAATCAGGGCATTTTGCCCACCCCCCTGCCATGGGCAGGGACACCTCCCACCAGCCCGGGTTGCTCCAAGCCCCGTCCAACCCGGCCTGGGACACTTCCAGGGATCCAAGGGTGGCTCCAGCTGCTCTGGGCAACCTGTGCCAGGGCCTCCCCACCCTCCCAGGGAAGGGTTTCTTCCCAATATCCATCTAACCCTGTCCTCTGTCCATGGGAAGCCATTCCCCCTGTCCTTCACTCCAGGCCCTTGCCCAAGTCGCCAGAGGAGGATCAGATGGGTTGAAGTGAGAAGGAAACGGGTGGGTTGAGCTAAAGCCACTTTAATAATTGGAAAGCAAAGTTAAAATACTGCGAGAGAGAAAAAAAGCCCGAGAGAGAAAAAAAGCCCCAAAGAGAAGCAAATCCCCCCTGTGCCCCCAGTCGGCTGCACCCCAACCCCCCAGCCATGGCTCAGGGAGGGCGTCCCCTGGGCTTGTCCAGTGTCCCCCTGCAGGGGGGGGTCCCCGAGCCCCCCGGCCCGTCCTGCCGTCCTGGGGACACCGGGGGCTCCGTTCCTGAGCCCTCGTCTGGGCCGGGCACGGTGGCAGAGGTGACAGCGGTGTCCTCGTGGCTCAGGGGGTGCCCATGGCCACTGCCAGGGCCAGCATTGCCAGGAGGAGCCCCCCGAGGTGTGGGGGGTCCCTTTGGCCGCTGCTGACCTCTGTGGGGACAGGAGAAAGGGGTCAGGATGAGCTGGCAGGGGCTCAGGGGGAGTCAGGGGGTATCTGGAGGATCCAAGGGCAGGTTGGGGCAGTTGGAGGGTTTCCAACCAGACCAACTGTCCCACAACAAGTCACACCCTGCCACGTTGTGTTGTGTCCTGTCATCCCATCCCCCATCATCCCATCCCATCCACCCCATCCCATCCCATCCCACCCCATCCCACCCCATCCCATCCCATCCCATCCACACCATCCATCCCACCCCATCCCATCCCATCCCATCCATCCCATCCCAGCCCACCCCACCCAGCCATTCCCCATCCCATCCCCATCCCAGCCCATCCCTCCAGCCCATCCATCCCATCCCATCCCATCCCAGCCATCCATCCCATCCACCATCCCATCCCATCCCATCCATCCATCCCATCCATCCCATCCCATCCCCATCCCACCCCACCCCATCCCAGCCCCCATCCCATCCATCCCATCCCCATCCCCATCCCATCCCATCCCCATCCCATCCCATCCCATCCCATCCCCCATCCCATCCCATCCATCCCATCCCCCATCCCATCCCCCATCCCATCCCCATCCCACCCCATCCCATCCCCCATCCCCCCATCCCATCCCATCCCATCCCATCCCATCCCAGGAGAGCAGCTGGAGCTCTGTGATGCCCAAAGTCCCCCCCCCCCCATCCCCTGCCCCACCAGTGACCCCCCTGTCCCAGCAGAGCCGGTGCCCTGGTGCCCCCCCCCGTGCCCACCCCCCCCATGGCTGTCCCCCCCCAGGGCTGTCACCTGAGGGATAGGCACAGTTGTACTTGCTGTGCACGCCGAGGGAGCGGAGCAGGATGTGGGGTTTGTCCCCTCGCTGGGTGACACTGGTGACACTGAAGGTCTCGAAGGGCGGGATGAGAACTTCCTGCTGCTCGGGGTGGTCGGAGAATTCCCAGATTTCGGCGCCGTGGCAGGTGTCCAGCTCGAAGAGGGTGTCGGTGCCGAACTGCTCGGCCACAGTTCTGTTGAGGGAGGCGGAGGCGAAGTGGCCGAAGCGGACGACGTCGCCGGGCTGGGCAGTGAAGCGGACACAGTCCATGCCCCGGAACACGTGGAGGCAGCGGGGGTGGGTCGGGGCATCGTGAAGGTCCTCCAGGGCCGTGGTCAGCAGGAAATGCAGCACCTTGAAGTCAAATCTCTCCAGATATTCCTGGGGGGAGCTCCCGGCCCGGGGCACAGCCCTGTTGAACTGCTCGTACAGCTCCGTGCGCAGCGCGAACGCCCGGAGGGCGATGCCCTGGTCCTGCCGCAGGCGGGACCCCCGGGACCCCCGGGACGGCCCCCAGCCGGCAGCGGCCTCGGCCCAGGCTCGGGAGTAGACGCGGTTGGTGGTGAACTCGGAGCGGTTGAGCTTCGGCAGCGCCTTCAGCATCTCGTCCCGGCAGCCCCAGTACTGGTCATCGAAGGCGTCGGGGGCCACGTCCAGCGCCAGCTCCTTGATGCCGCTGGTCAGGGTGGTGGTCAGCAGCACCAGCACCAGCAGCAGGAGCTCCATGGTGGGCAGAGACTCTCCAGGGACCCCCCAGACACTGTGAGGACGCAGGCGGGGCCGCGGCCGCTTCCTCTGGGAGGGACTGGGGAGGTGGGGAGGGGGAGCGGGGTCAGCCCGGGGAGAGGGGACACCCCCGGCCGCACCCCCGGCCAGGAGCCCCCCGGCCACGTCCCGGCACCGCCCCGACCCCCACCCTGGTCCCACGGGCCGTCGCCCCCCGTGCCCAGCACCCCGGCCCCGGCCCCCGCAGCCCCACGGCGTCACCCCGGGACCCCGGCCCCAAGTGTTACCTGTGCCCTGTGCTGGGTGTGGGGTCTGGGTGCTGCTCCCGGCCCCCCCTGAGCTCCTGCACAGGGGACACGGGGCTGCTCCGGCTTTTTATAGCGGGGGTGGTTGGGCCTGGGTCCAGATTTTCTCCCAGGAGCCCCCTGATAAACCCCCTCTGCTCCCACCCAGCTGTGGGGGGCTGAGATAATTCAGCGAAACCAAAACCAAAAGCTGAAAGTTGCACGAGAAAAGGGGAAAAACAACCCCAAGATTTGATTCTCTCCTCCCGTTCCACAGGAAACGTGCGGCCACGTCCCAGAGAGTGGGGCTGCAGCCCATGGAAGGGCTGCTCCAAAAGGGAGCTGGGGGGGCTCAGCCTGGGGAAAAGGGGCTCGGGGGGGACCTCCCGGCTCTCTGCAAGCCCCCGACATGAGGGGGAGCCGGGAGGGGGGTTCTGTGTCCCCCCAGTCCCCTCTGCCCCCCCCCAGGAGCAGTTGTCACAGGTGAGGTCCCCACAGGGGACGTCGAAGGCCACCAGGTCCCCTCCTGCTCCTGCCGGAACTCCCGGAGCCACCGGAGCAGCAGGGTCAGCTGCACATCACGGATGGTGGCACGGCCTGGAACAGGGACACACGGACATGGACACACGGACATGGGGACACGCGGACATGGGGACACACAGACACAGACACGGTGTCACCACCCAGCCCGGCACTGCCGGGACCCCCGGAGCCAGCAGAGCACCAGGGGCAGGGACAGGGACACACGGACATGGACACACGGACATGGGGACACACGGACATGGGGACACACAGACACAGACACGGTGTCACCACCCAGCCCGGCACTGCCGGGACCCCCGGAGCCAGCAGAGCACCAGGGGCAGGGACAGGGACACACGGACATGGACACACGGACATGGGGACACGCGGACATGGGGACACACAGACACGGTGTCACCACCCAGCCCAGCACTGCCAGGACCCCCGGAGCCAGCAGAGCACCAGGGGCAGGGACAGGGACACACGGACATGGACACACGGACATGGGGACACGCGGACATGGGGACACACAGACACAGACACGGTGTCACCACCCAGCCCGGCACTGCCGGGACCCCCGGAGCCAGCAGAGCACCAGGGGCAGCTGCAGGTCACAGGTGTTGGGGTCAGCTGGGACAAGGGACACACGGACATAGGGAGACAGGGACACACGGACATGGACATAGGGACACAGGGACACACGGACATGGACACAGGGAGACAGGGACACACAGACACAGGGCCACAAGGACACAGCAGGACAGGAACACACGGACATGGAAAGAGCTGGGACAGGGACACAAGGACATGGACACAGGGACACAGGGACACAGGGACATGGACACAACAGGACAGGGACACATGGACATGGACACAGCTGGGACAGGGACACACGGACATGGACACAGCAGGACATGGACACAGGGAGACAGGGACACACAGACGGACACAGCAGGACAGGGACACAGGGACACAGGGACATGGACACAAGGACATGGACATAGAGGGACAGGGACACAAGGACATGGACACAGGGAGACAGGGACACACGGACATGGACACAGCGGGACAGGGACACAGGGGGACAGGGACACAGGGGGACAGGGACACAGGGGGACAGGGACACACAGACATGGACACAGTTGGGACAGGGACACAAGGACATGGACACAGGGACACACGGACATGGACACAGGGAGACAGGGACACATGGACACACAGATACATCAACACAGGGACACACGGACACACGGACAGGGGACACAAGGACACAGGGACACATGGACACAGGGGGACATGGGAACACAGGGACACAGGGACACACATGGACACACAGATACATCAACACAGGGACACACGGACAGGGGACACACAGACACAGGAACACAGGGACACAGGGACACAGGGACATGGACATGGGGACATGGGGGGACACAGGGATGTCTGGTCACTTGGACAGAGGGGCACATGGGAACAAAGGGACATGGGGACATGGACACAGGGACACGGACACACGGACACACGGATGTGGGAACACAGGGACACAGGGACACAGGGACACAAGGACACAGGGACACAAGGACACAGGGACACACGGACACAGGGACACATGGATATGGGAACACAGGGACACAGGGACACAAGGACACAGGGACACGGACACAGGGACACAGGGACACAGGGACACGGGGACACAGGGACACAGGGACACAGGGACACAGGGACACAGGGACACACGGACACATGGGAACAGAGGGACACAGGGACACAAGGACACAGGGACACGGGGACACACGGACACAGGGACATGGGAACACAGGGACACAGGGACACGGACACAGGGAAACATGGGAACAGAGGGACGCACGGACATGGGGGGACAGAGGGATATCTGGACACTTGGACATAGGGACACACGGACACACAGATATGGGAACACAGGGACACAAGGACACATGGACACAGGGACACAGGGACACAGGGACACAAGGACACAGGGACACACAGATATGGGAACACAGGGACACAGGGACACGGGGACACGGGGACACAGGGACACAGGGACACAGAGACACATGGACACAAGGACACAGGGACACAAGGACACACAGATATGGGAACACAGGGACACGGGGACACAGGGACACAGGGACACAGGGACACAAGGACACGGGGACACATGGACACAGGGACACAGGGACACACGGACACACGGACACAGAGACACAAGGACACAGGGACACAAGGACACACGGACACACAGATATGGGAACACAGGGACATGGGGACACATGGACACAGGGACACACGGACACAAGGACACATGGACACACAGACACACGGATATGGGAACACAGGGACACGGGGACACATGGACACAGGGAAACATGGGAACAGAGGGACACAGGGACACACGGACACAGGGACACACGGACACAGGGACACATGGACACACGGATATGGGAACACAGGGACACATGGACACAGGGACACAGGGACACAGGGACACAGGGAAACATGGGAACAGGGACACAAGGACACACGGACACACAGATATGGGAACACAGGGACACAGGGACACGGGGACACAGGGACACAGGGACACACGGACACAGAGACACAAGGACACACGGACACACAGATATGGGAACACAGGGACACGGGGACACATGGACACAGGGACACATGGACACAGGGACACACGGACACAAGGACACATGGACACAGGGACACACGGACACACACACTGTCCCCCCGTGTCCTCACCCCCTCAGGTGGGTGCAGCCCTTCCCAGCACTGGGGGGGACACGACACACGTGTCACCTCAGCAGGTCCCCGTCACCACCCTCCCCCCCGCGGGTCCTCCAGCCCCCCAGGCCATGGAAATAAATCCCTCAGTTTTCCAACCCCTCTTCCCGCCGGGTTTTGGGGTCCTTGGTTCTGCCTCCCTGCTTGGACTTTGGGTCTCAGTGACACCCCCGCGGGTTCTGCCGGGTTTGGGCATCCCGGGACATCCACGGCCCTTTCCCAGGGAACATCCATGGCCCATTCCCAGGGAACATCCATGGCCCATTCCCAGGGAACAACCACAGCCCATTCCCAGGGAACATCCCCCTTTCCATTCCCAGGGAACATCCCCCTTTCCATTCCCAGGGGACATCCACGGCCCTTTCCCAGGGAACACCCACAGCCCATTCCCAGGGAACATCCATGGCCCATTCCCAGGGAACATCCATGGCCCATTCCCAGGGAACATCCAGAACCCATTCCCAGGGAACATCCAGAACCCATTCCCAGGGAACATCCAGAGCCCATTCCCAGGGAACATCCAGAACCCATTCCCAGGGAACATCCCCCTTTCCATTCCCATCGAACACCCACAGCCCATTCCCAGGGAACACCCACAGCCCATTCCCATCGAACACCCCCCTTTCCATTCCCAGGGAACACCCCCCTTTCCTGCCCCAGCCGGGATTTCTCCTCCCAATGGTTCAGGTGATGGAAAAACCCCCCCGGAGCCTCCCTTTCAGGGCTGGGAACTTTTCTTTTCCCTTCCCTGGGAAGGGTTTTGTGCCTCTCCTTCGCTCCGAGCGTCTCCCCCTGCTCCGGGCCCTGCCCAGTCTGGCTCCCACCCAAACTGCTGCAGGGACCACTTTGTCCCAGCTCCACATTCGGGGCTTGGAAGAACGGGGCTCACTCAGGGTGGGGGGCACTCGGTGGCCTCCGGGGGTCGTTTGGGGAACACCCCATTTCTCAAATTGTCGTTTTAGGGTCACAAGCCTCCAAAAAACCAATTTCTTCCCCTCGAATGCACTCGGGCTCTGTGGTCTGGCCCGGGTCCATCTTATCAGCGCTGCCCAGGCCCAGCCTTTATTCTCCGGGCCCAGATATCCCCTTGCACGCGTTAATTACCCAGATGGGCGAACACAGGACCGAGCCCTGTTCGTTAAGGCTGAAGGAACTCACGAGCCTTAGACACTCTTTGTTACAATTAAAGGTTTTCCAGCATTTCCCCTCCCTCGGGGCTTTCAGGAGTCTCTCCCGGAAGCCTCGTTTGCCCCCCTTTGTCCTCCCTTTCCCTCTAAAGTCCCGTTCGCGGCCGCAGTCCCGCAGCGCGGCCTCACGAGTGCCCCCGAGGGCTGCGGGCACTGCTCTCCCCCGGGGACTCCCGGGACACCCGGACAGAGGGCTGGGGACCGGGACGGGCTTTGCCAACGGCTCCGGAACTCCCCGGGAGCTTCGGGCCCTTTGTGTTCCACGTCAGACCCCGACGTGTCCCACAGGAGTCCCCAGAGGAGTCCCCAGATGTGTCCCCAGATGTGTCCCCAGGTGTGTCCCCAGATGTGTCCTCAGGTGTGTCCCCAGGTGTGTCCCAGATGTGTCCCCAGATGTGCCCCAGATGTGTCCCCAGGTGTGTCCCCAGATGTGTCCCAGACGTGCCCCCAGATGTGTCCCCAGATGTGTCCCAGATGTGTCCCTGCCCTCGGTTGTGCCCCCAGTGCCCCCCCCGCTGCTCTTTGCGGGGGTTCAGCCCCCCCGTGGGCCCCCCTCGGCCCCGCAGCCCCCCCGTTTTCCTCGGGGCACCCCCAGTTTGATTTCCCGGCGTTCCCACGGACGCCCACGGGCTGGGCGGGGAGGGGGCCGAGTGTCGTCCCCCCCCGGGCATCTCGGGCACCCCGGTCCCTCTGCCGCGGGC